ACTACCTACTACCTACTACCTACTACCTACTACCTACTACCTACTACTACGACTACGACTACGACTACCACTACCACTACTACTACCACTACTACCACTACTACTACTATTACTACTACTACTACTACTACTACTACTACTACTACTACTACTACTACTACTACTACTACTATTGCATGGTATGTCTTTAATTGCATTGTGTGTTTTTTAGACGTTGCAGCTGTGTTTTGCTATTTGTGTTCGACTTCCAGAGCCTACCCCGAAAAACAAGCACAGCACACACAAGAAAGAACACACGTCTCGCATCGTCCCACCATGCGATTTGTTACGGAGCATGCCTCGCACCGGGTGGGGAGGTCGAGGACGGCAGTGATCTGAGGCATCTCCTTGGATGACCTGGATGACTCCGAGGACTTCGAGCCCCAGGAGGCCGAGGAAGCCAACGAGGCCGAGGTCGAGGAGGCCAAGGCGCGGTGAAAGTCGATGAAGTGAGGATCAAGACATTGAGTAAGTTTGATCTCGCACGCCAGCTTTTGGTATTATAGTAGATGGAAGACCAGACTGTCAAACAGAAACAGACACCTTAAAGTAAAGCAGCAATTGCCATTGACTGAGTATCTGAGTATCACTTCACTTGCGCCACTCGGCGCAGACAGACGAAAACTGTGCTGAGCACTGAGCATCAAGCAGTTGCAATCTGTTTTCGCGTCCCGGTACTTGCAGCTAGGGTGGAGGCCATTGCTACTAGGTTGGAGGCCATCGCTACTAGGTTGGAGGCCATCGCTACTAGGTTGGAGGCCATCCCAGCTAGGGTGGAGACCATCGCAATTAGGTTTTGCAGGCTCGCACCGAGATCAGCGGCCTCTGAGGTTCAGAGGACCCATACCGACCTGCAGCGGATGATGGAAGGCTCGAGAGCTCGGCTAGGCTCCGGTAGGCTCCTCCAGGCTCCGCTTCGTGTGGTTATGTTGTTGCTTGACATCCTGCACGCTGAAAAGATGCATTTGGATGAGTATGAATCTTGAAAGTGTTTATATGTAGCAAGCTGATTTGAAAATACACTTACAAATAAGTTACTGTTGGTTACTTAAGCATTGGGAGCAGATTATATTTCAACTGTGCAGGTCGAGTTTCATCAAGTTTGTGCGGTATAGCGACACATAAATATGTAGGGATTCACTGCAGATGGCATTGACGGGAGCCTCCAAACCAGAGTCTCTCACTACCTTCAGAATCTTTGCTCTTCAGTATCATAATGATAGTAAAGGGATATATTAGAGAACAGGGGACAAGCAGACCCCACTACTCAGAAATGTCATGCATCTCATAAATCAAACTTTTGAGGGGGCAGTTGCCATGGACGGCAAATCATTCATAGTTTATAGATCCTTAATATCACAAATATCTAAGAACCATTGAATCACAATCCCTACACCTCCAGTCGTACCTCCTCAGGTTCGGTATGACTGGACCCAAGAATGGCACCCACCCCAGTCCCGAAACGAACCGGTTCGGTACGACGGCCAAAGGGGAATGTGTCATAACGGCCATTCCTGCACAGCTGGTGTGCTCCCCCCGGTCTCGACCCACCACGGACCCGCCACGGACCGAAGTCGGACGGCACATGTTCACCCAAAAGCGCAACGCGGCCCATTCTTCACGTGGCTTATCGATATAGAACGGGTGCCATTTGGAGTCAACTGTGGGCTTAGAGACGATAGGACCTAGAAAAGGATACAGAAAAGGACAAAACAGGTCGTCCAGTTTCAATACTGTCGAGACTAGATCTCCATGCGTTGGATTTCTCACCGGTGCAGTGTCGAGACCGGTCCAACATCAAAACAGAGGACTGGCGATCCAATCATCATGGGTTTGGTTCGTTCGGATAAATTCAAAACACATGCATCTCCAAGATAAAACACCGTGAAGAGCAGCTTTCCAAGTCTCATGCAAACTCCAGATCTTGACGGCGTCACTGTCGTCTTTCAATGTGTCCACAGCGCCACAGGCCGCCAACGTCGTCCCAGGAATTTCAGCGATGTACCTTGGCTGAATTCGTTCGACGAAGCGACGTGAGGATCGGAGGTTCACCCAAGGACAGACATGGTCAAGGTTAAAATGTGTGCTGTTTGGCACCCTTCAGCCTCCCCCTACTACCTTCTTGTTACTAGAAAGCTTCAAAGACCTACTAGAAAGCTTTATTGTCTATAGTAGCGATGGGCTCCACCTAGTAGCTTCTAGTTACTAGAAAGCTTCAAAGACACACTAGAAAGCTTGGATTGTTACTAGTAGCCATGGCCTCCAACCTAATAGCGATGGTCTCCA